AAATGCTGTTGCATTGTGGGAATTGTAGTGAATGTCACAAAACAGAATGTGTATGGATTGTTGAATGGAAAACCAATTTGCTCTGTAAACTTTCAGCCAAATCACACCAAGAAAAAATCCTGAAATACAGTGCTGTCAGTGATAGGATGATATCCATGTGCCTACGAGGAAGGACTATGATTCAAATTTACCCATTAATCACTGATGAAGAAAGTGAATATTTTTTACCAACTAATGCAGTCTGAAATTGATGAAACATGCAATCAAGATGCAGTGATAATTACCTGGTGATTAGGATGTGAAAGTTGGAAACCAAGAACAAGGATCATTATAAACATACCTCTGAGATACTGTGGGTTTGCTTCCAGATCACCACAATAAAGCAAGTCACACAAATTTTTTGGTTTCCCAGTGCATGTAAAAGTTGTCTACATTACACTGTAGTCTAATAAGTGTGCAGGTGCATTATGAAAAAATTTGAAATATTGTGCAAATTATGAAAATGTGACAAACCGACACTAGGTGAGCACATGCTGTTGGAAAAAATGGTGCCAACAGACTTGCTGTATGCAGGGTTCCCACAAACCTTCAATTTGAAGGAAAAAAAAAGAAAATGCAGTATCTGCAAAGCACAGTGAAACTAGGTATGCCTGTAGTTGAAAATACAGCCTTAGTGATAGAAATGACATGGGAGATTGTGTGATAGAATTTTGCAGGGCCAACAACTTATTTGTTGCAAATATCACCTTTATAACAACATGAACAGTGACTAAACATGTACACTCCATCAGATACACAGGAATCAATCACCTACATCTGTGCAGAGGCAATGGACAAGCTCCTTATCATGTCAGAGCAAGACCAGAGGCTGGCTACAGAACAGACCATCAATTGCTCTTACGTAAGTTCAAGTTGAAGCTGAAGAAAATGACAAGTCCACAAGAGCCAAAGTTCAGCCTTGAATGTATCCCACCTAAATTTAGAGATCATCTCAACAATAAGTCGAGGCATTGAACACTAATGACTGAAGATGAGTTGTGGGGTGACATCAAGGACATCATACATTAAGAAAGCAAAAGGTCATTAAAAAGACATAAAGGGAAAAAAAAGGCCAAAATGGATGTCAGATTATGAAACTTGTTCTTGAACACAGAATAGCTATAGTGAATGAAAGAAATGATGTTAAAGAGCTGAACAGATTTCAGAGGGTGGCTTGAGAAGACAAAGTATTTGTTCTGGTTTCCTCGTGCCACTCTGAGAAGAATATACCACCAATGGGACGGCTTGAACAAACAGGAGTTCATTCTCTAACAGCTTGGAGCCTTTAAGTCCGAGTTCACAGTACCAGGCTGTAGGGGCTGGGTGAAAGCCCCTCAACCTTGGGGTCCAGCTCTGCCTCCTGCTCCTGGCCCACTGGAGCTAGAGGCTTTTCTTCACTTAGCTGCTGGCTGCTGAGACTGACAAGCCCAAGGTTGACAAGTAAAAAGACACAGTCCCAATGTTACCAAACCACATAGCAGGCCATTAATTCAATTAAGTCCATTGAAAGTCCCAAGGTCAGCAGAGCTTGGCAGGCTGCTGAACAACAACATGGCAACATGCAGGGTTCAAGTGTGCCATAAGCTGGAGACCATTCCCAAAGCTGCTGCTTACATACAGGAAGCAGACCACATACCCAAAGCAGCCACTCAGCTGCTCCAATAGATTCCACCATGGAGTTAATTAACCAATCTCACCATGGGAAATAACTACATCCAGCTTGCCCAGCCACTTACCCAGACCCAGCCAAGTTGACACACAAACTTATCCACCACAGTATTATAATGAAATATGCAAAGGCCTGGGGTTAGAAAACCAAAAGGGAAAAAAGATGCTTGGCATTTGTCAAGCTGAAAGAACTGAAGAAAAAGTTCAAGCCATGAGTTGTAATATTAAAGGATTCAACAGGCAAAGAATTGAACAACACAGGGAGTTATCAAAAGATGGAAGGAATATAGTCACTGTACCAAAAAGAATTGGTCAGTGTTCAGCCATTTCAGGAGGCAGCATATGATCAAAAACTGATAGTACTGAAGGAAGTAGTCTAAACTGTGCTGAAGGCATTGGTGAAAAACAAAGCTCCCAGAATTGATGGAATACAGTAATTCAATAACCAGATGAATTCAATAACCAGATGAAACATTGGAAGCGCTCACTCACCTATACCAAGATATTTAGAAGTCAGCTACTTAGCTAACTGACTGGAAGAGATCCATGTATGTGCTCATCCCAAAGAAAAGTGATTCAAAAGAACATCAAAAATGTTGAACAATATCATTAATATCACATGCAAGTAAAACCAGCTCAAGATCATTCAAAGCGGTACAGGGTATTGCCAGAAATTGAAACTGGATTCAAAAGATGACGTGGACTGAAGGGTATCACTGTTGGTCAGAGGACCTTGGCTGAGAGCAGAGAATACCAGAAAGATGTTTATCTGTGTTTTATTAACTATGCATTGGACCATGCAGATCGTAACAAATAATGGCAAACATTGTGAAAAATGGGGATTCCAGAAAACTTATGTGCTCATGCAGAACTTGTACATAGACTAAGAACCAATTTTTCAAATAGAATGAGATACAGGAAAGGTGTGTGTCAGGGCTGTATCCTTTCACCATACTTATTCAATCTGTATGCTGAGCAAATAAGTCAAGAAGCTGGACTATATGAAGAATGCATCATTAGAATTGGAGGAAGACTCATTAACAGTCTGTGATATGCAGAAGACACAACCTTGCTTGCTGAAAGTCAAGAGAACTTGAATCACTTACTGATGAAGATTAAAGACTACAGCCTCCTGCATGGATTATACCTTAATATAAAAACAGAAATCCTCACAACTAGACCAAAAAGCAACATCATGATAAATGAAAGACAGAAGTCAAGGATTTCATTTGGATCTACATTAATTAAATTATTTAATTGTTTTTTTATTTTTTTAAAATTATTTGGATTTGGATCCACATTAGTGCCCGTGAAAACAGCAAACATGTTGCATTGGGCAAATCTGCTGAAAAAGACCTCTTTCAAGTATTAAAAAGAAAAAAAAAAACAAAACCAGATGTTACTTTGAGAACTACGGTGTCCCTGACCCAAGCCATGGTATTTTCAGTCACAGCATATGCATGCAAAACCTTGACAATGAATTAAGACCGAAGCATCTGAATCAGTGTTGGAGAATAACACTTGAATACACCACGGACTGCCGGAAGGCTGGTGGTTCAAACCCACCAGCCACTCCTCAGAAGGAAGGTTGGGCAATGTACTTCCATAGTAATATGCCTTGGAAACCCAAGGAGAGGGCGCTGAGTCAGATCCAACTCGATGGCAGTGAGTTTAATTTTGGTTTTGGCCAGATGAACCTATGTCTTTCAAGTACAGCCAGAAAGCTCCTTATAAGCAAGGATGGCGTGACTTTGTCTCATGTACTTTGGACATGTTATCAGGAGGGACCAGTCCCTGGAGAAGGACGTCATGCTTGATAGAGGGTCAGCAAAGAACAGGAAGAGCCTCAAAGGGATGGACTGACACAGACTCAAATATAGCAACAACTGTCAGGCTGGAGTAGAACTGGGCAGTGCTTCATTCTGTTACACAAAGGGGTCCTATGCCTTGGAACTGACTTGACAGCATTTGGAAACATAATATATTGGCTAAACTGTAAAGAAAATGGGACACAATAAGTTTCAAGCTTTATTTTTTTCCTTTTACACAAAACAAAGTAGAAGAAATACTACAGGATTAAAATGTAAAAGTAGTTAATTAGTACAACATGTACACACAAAAAAACCCAGATAGAAAGACAGGCTTATTTACAATGAGGAAACACATGTAAAATTAAGGTAATTTTCTTATGAAACATTTAAGAAAAAAATATGCTACATGGGTGCTACTGTCTACAGCAGTATACAAGAGGGGAAAATATTTATTTAGGGACACATATACCACAAGGTCCAAGTTTTACAGTATCAGTGCAATAAATTCACAAAACATGACACCTAGTTAAACTAGTCAATCAGTTTAAGACTTGTTCCCAGATATGCCCCAATATTTTTGGCCCTCAGAGGATTACTCCTACAGATTTCAACTACTCTAAATTTCTAGTTCCAGAAGAAGAATAGTTCTAAGAAGCTTTCCAAGAAGTCGCAAAATCTATGTGGACCAGAGGCCAACAATAATTGCCAAGTGTCAGCTCTCACGAGCAACCCTTACATTTTTCAGAGAAATATTAAAAAAAAAAAAAAGACACCAGCAAAGCCCCTACCCTCCTACTCCAAACCTGTGTGGACCCAAAGAGCCAGTACTTCCGTAAGATGAGAATCTTGAAGCTTACTTTTAAACTTACTCTGGTCTTGAAAAATTAGTAGGATAAGCTATTTTCTAAAGAAAGGATTCTTGCCTAACCTAAGACTTTTGTCCTTCATTGGCTGATCTTTGAGTGAAGGTCACAGATGTGAGCCTTAACGTGCTATGTACTTTAGTTTCACTCAGCTGAAAATCTGCAATTAAAACTATGTTAAAAATCCTAAATACATTATTTGGCAAGTTGCTATTTAAAAGGCTCTAAGGATTTACTAACAAAGTCTAAATAGGAGGGACAAGAGTTCTATGCCTATCAAAGTCCCCATTTCGGAAAAAAGATCAATGTTTTCTACAAGTCACTAAGTCTTGCTCAAGGGAGAATTTTTGCATGGAATTAAGTTTCATTTTATCCCGTGGGTATTCTTCCTCCACGGCAAAGAAACAGAATGAGGAATGACTCTTAATTGGTCTTTTCATCAGAATTGGTAAAATTGGTCTCTGTATTCATGAAGCCAGACAGTTATTGTAAGCAGACAGCAGAACTAGCTTCCTACAGCCACAGACCACTACTTTGTATCTAGCTCAAGCAAAGATGAACTTAAAAATTATCAAGAGTCACTGGTACTAAAGAATAAACTTCACTACAGTATTATCTTAAAGGAAACTGCCTAAAAGTAAGAATTAACTGTGGGACAGAAAAACCAAAACAAGCTAGTACTCATTTATGAGCTGTCCATATAAGGTCAACAAGGGAATGCACCCAGCAACACTGGACATGAACACTATGCACAAAGCCTTACTTGGCAAGTCTTGAATTTGTATTAACTAAGGGCAGAATGAATGAGGAGCAAAGAGCTACTTGTGTGACGTTTTAGTCTACAGACAGCATAGTAGAAACTGTGCCCAGGGACGATGTATACTCCATCAATCACATTGAAGAAAGCAGATGCACTATTCATTCTTCTTTTCTTTTTGTTTGAGAAGCTTGTTTATCTCTCTCTTGGCCATTCCAATGTACTTTGAAATGATTCCATGTTGATTTAGTCCGGGAAGCAGCAGTGCAAAAGTTACTTAAACAAACAAAATTAAGGAATCAATAATGACCTTCCTAAAAGTTATGACATTTTACAGAAGGTAGTTTCCCAGACATTCCAGTTTATTAGACATTTAATAGGAGGAAGCAAATGAAATACATTACTTCCACTAGCATTTATCTCCAGATACTTCTGTTATCACACCCTTCCAACCCCAGATTCACACATTGCTTATTTTTCTCTCTTATACATTACTTTCTACCTTGGTTATATTCTTTGTCTTAACTTCCTATGAAACTATTAACTTCCTGAAAGAAGGAACTGGGTCTTGGTCACCTTGCTACACTGCCACAGACCCTTGATTGGTGCCTTAAACTTTGTAAACATCCCATATAGTTGTTTATTGGGTAAGTTACAGTTAGATGTAACTGGCCAGGATGTGCCAGTATTTCTTCCTCAAAGACTTACCAATCAGGTAGGTGAGAAAAAGGTTGTGAACTTGCTGTCCCACCCAAGCAACCGCAGCAAGAGATATGATCATGGTCATGAAGTACTAACAATAAAAATAACAAGAATTTATCAACTCTTAGAAGTAGACTAAGAAGCATAGCTATCATTTTAGGAGTTTGTTTCAAAGGCTGCAAACTAATTCCACTTCTGTTTTAAAATATTTAATATCTTTGTATTATAGAAAGGAGCTCTGGTGGCATAGTGCCTAAGACACTTGACTGCTAACCAGAAGGCTGGCAGTTCAAACCCACCAGCGACTCCTCGGAAGGAAGATTAGGCAATCTACTTCCGCAGTGAAACTGCCTTGGAAACCCCAAGGAGGGGTCGCTATGAGCCAGACCCGACACGACAGCAGTGAGTATATTATAGAAAGCTCCATTACATATAACTTTATAGAACTTAAGATACAGTTCCCCCTAGAATTATTAACTCCAAAGTAAATTGAGCTATCGTTACAATTAATTATTTCACATAGTAATTGCTATGAGTCGGGTTTGACTCAACGGCACATAACAACAACAACAAATCTCATGTGAAGCTGGAAATGAACAACTGCTCTTTCTAAGTATTTCAGTTTTACTTTAGTAAGTAAAAAGAAAAATTTTATTCTACTACAGTAAAAAATGGAAAATGTAATTTTTAACTTGCAGTGGTTCAATCTAATACAGATAAAGATTTTTGAGTATAATCAGAGGCATTACATAGATAATGATAAAAATCCAACTATATTAAAACAAAAAAGATTATGCTCCTATGAAGTAAAACAGACTCCAATCTTAAACTTTTCCTTTACTTAAACAAGTCAAAGCAAAATAAGTACCATTTTAGGCTTTTCTTCTTTTAGTGTGAAGAGGCGTTTCCACCAGCCCACAGCTCTGCGTCGAGTTTTGACTAGATTGCTGCAAATTTCATGGAATCTTTGCTGTTGCTCAGTGGTCCTGGAAAAACAAGTTTCCCCTTTAACTGTAAACAACTCTCCATAGCAGAAATAAAACATCCTCTTAAATTTAAAGAGCTGTCTTCTAAAGATGGTCTAAATAAAACGTAACAGTGGTTCACCATTCTCTCACTCAGGCGAAAAAGCCTTTACACCAAGACACCTTTTATAGCACAGAAATGTTTTTATGTAGAGACATTTGAGAGTGTGTATCATTTTGAATGTATTTAAGTAATGGTAACCTATGGCGCTGAAGCCATATTTGGTTAATGATAGTCACAAAAGACACATAACTCACTTCGGGCCACGCAAACATCAGTATATAAATTAATTTCTCTATTCCTTTATTATTTTTCAGATGCAAATGAACCCTGGAGGTTGTAACCCATGGGAGTCTCACTATCCTAAGAGGGATGTGAAGCTTCCACCAAATAGCTGCACTTGAGCCCTTGTCAGCAAAATAAAAACTGTTAGCATTCAAAGCATAGGTGATCCACAGAAGCTATCAACATATTCCTGATGAGGAAAAATGTCAACACAAACAAAACAGCAGTAAAAATCCAAACAGATCCTCTAAGAAAGTCCTTTGTGATGTTTTTCTTAGGATTTTAAAAAAAGCCTCCATACTGTCTTTGGTACAGACAAAATGGCTACTACAGTAAAACCTGTGAAAGCTGGAACCTGTGCAAGGCAGACACCGGTCCAAGAGGGAAAACTAAAAAATTTTCCACTAAATAGCAATAGAAAAGTGATGATTGCACCCTGTCAAAGGAAGAAAACTTGCAAGATGCTGAAAAACAAGGCAATCCTCTTGAGTGCTGGCTCTCATAGGTTTCACTGTACTACTTAGTAGGCTTATCCTGAGGCTTTCCTCCAGACCTCATCCCTGAAAAAAATGCAGTGACAGATACAGTAGCAAGAATTTGCTAAGTCCTGGAACTTCTTGTAGACAATCAGACTTTATATATTGCCCCTGTTCAAGGCTAGATTGTGACAATATAACACAGTGTTCTTTCTTCCCCAAAAGATCAAAAATTAATTCACTCTATCAATAATTGAGTCACATACTAATTACCATGAAGACTATCAGTGTTTACTTTTGAAAACTTTCCTCTAGGAGTTACGAATTTAGCAGATTAGAATGTCATCTGACTAATAGCATCAAGATCAGAGGTTGAGTCCCTATGCCAGTTAAATTTGTTACAATGCACGATCACAAACTTCCCCAAAAAACAGTAGCATAATTCATTACTGCAAGTGAAAAAACAATTCAAAATACAGTTCCTAACACTAACATACTCTGCTTCAGGGGAAACATTTTAAAACAAACATACTTAATTATCCCTTAACTTAAGTAAACTCTTCCAAAACATATGAATTTATTCTCAAAGAATCTGTAAGGCACACCCTTAAAATTCTTATTTTCATAGAATTAATTTTTAATTTGCTGTCACCTAAATAATGAAAAACAAAAGGCATAAGCAGACTACCAATCAAATGAAAATAAACAACCAAGAGACTAGCAGCTGAGAGGAAAGAAATCTATTCCATCACCCAATTTTGTTCATTATGTGAATCAAAAGTAGAAAATACAACATTCCAGAGGGAAGTTATATTTAATATATCCTTAGCCATTTAACTATGTCTTAGGACCTCATAAGGAATAAACTCAAAAAATGGTATAAATGAAATCAACAACACACTTGTATATACACAGCTTGAACTTAGTCTGAAGCACTTGCTGTGTGTGTGTTGCCTGCCTACCTATCACTGCACTGCCTCAATTTCTCAACCTTAAAAAAAGATCAATCTTGTAAGTGAAAATAAATGGTAAGTCTGAAAACATTATGGAGAAATAAGAACCGGAAAGTCATTGCTTGTTTCTGAATCAGCTAAGCAATTCTTTACAGCAAAGCAAAGCAGTCTAACCCTTAGCTGTCTGATGATTAAACAAGAATTGCTAACTGCAGCATACTAATCACAGCCCCCAAGTTCAGGAACTTTCTTAGAGATTCCAAATCATGATTCCACCTACCATTTATTGGAGCCAAAAATTCTAGGTGCCAGAATGGGAACAAGGTAGTCAGCCAAGCACAAAAACATAACAAAACAGGAAACACCAGACAGAACAGATGGATCTAGATAGTAGATCGTCCTGTTTAAAGAAAAACAAATAACAATAATAAATAAAGGTTAAAACATAGTCACTGTTTTTCCTAGCTGAAGATTTTCAACTTAGTTCACTGGTTCTCAAAGATGTTATTGGCTCTTTTCATTTGTTATTTGTCGTGAGTAGAATCTTCCAGAAGCTTCATGGCAAGATACCATCACTGTAATAGCTAATGGAATATGTGCTTATATGTTCTGTATTTCACAACTTCAATTTCAAATACAGTAAATATCAATAGATAAAAAGCTCTCTGGGATCTTCATTAATTTTTAAGGGTATAAAGAGTCTTGAAGCCAACAAGTTTAAGAGCCGCTGATTCATTCAACTGTATTAGGCTCCCGAGTTTATGTAACTACTACACATTCTGAAAACTAGGCAAACTGCTCTAAGAAAAGGCATTCTTTACAGATTATACATTACAAATGATTTAAGGCACTTTCATAAATGCAAGCTGTATATTACCTGAGCCCTTATTAACAGCAAGCACAAACCACAGTAATGGAATAGCTCACTTACAGAAACACCAAAGAAACCACACCCATGATAGCAGGTGGAAACCAGGCTCTTTCCCATCCGAGGACTTTGTCGGCCATCAGCATCACTTCTCCCCATCCTTGCAGCTGTTCTTCCAGACTTGCAGTCTCTGCAGCCTACATATGATCCACATGTAAAGCGATCACTTTACCAGTCTCAACATTCCCGTGATTCCTAGACAGTTAAATTCTTCTAAGGTACCAGATATGTAAGATTACTCTTACAGTTAGTTTCTGAAACCCACTACTACTGAGTTGATTCCAACTCATGTTGTTTATGTTATGTGCCATCAAGTCGGACTCGACTCAGTGATCCCTCCTTGGGTTTCCGAGGTGGTATCACTATGGAAGTAGATTGCCCAACCTTCCTTCTGAGGAGTGGCTGGTGGGTTTGAACTGCCAGCCTTCTGGTTAGCAGTCAAGTGCCTTAGCCACTACACCACCAGAGCTCCCTTCCAACTCACAGCGACCCCCACTGGGTTTCCAAAGCGGTAAATCTTTATGGAAGTAGATTGCTTCATCTTCCTTCCACGGAGTGGCTGGGGGGTTTGAACAGCCAACCTTCTGGTTAGCAGTCAAATGCCTTAGGCACTGCGCCACCATAGCTCCTTAGTTTCTGAAAACCCCTGCAATTTTGGTTCCATAGAAGGAAACCAATGGGGAAAAAAAGGATCACTTAATAGCCACCTTCCAAATTCAAGCATTGAGCTACTTTACATACATGATGTAGCATCATCCCTAAAGAACTCTCAAGGTAGGGACAATTAGGTCTACTTTACAATTAAAGTGAGCCCAGAAGGTTAACTAACTTTCCCATCCTCATACATTATTAAGGGCATTATTTATAAAATCAGTTCACTCATTTCATGTGGTTAGGATCTACTGGTTTTTTTTTTTTTTTGTCATTTCATTGATTTAAAGCCTCTCTCAGAACAGGATTCGATTTCTAAAATTGTTTTTTGGATAATGGACTCACTTAGAAGTTGGCATCATCACACAATCAAGCAAAACTGCTTTCACCAAATTACATGGGGCATTTTAAGCTCCATGTATCGCCTCAATAATGTGTTTATTAGGCCATTCTGTTTAGACTTCAAATTTCTTTGCACAGCTGACAATCGGCTGAATATGGACCTCTACATTGAGCTAATGTGGCAAGAGCCCTTGAACTGATTTTGGCAAAGGAAAATTGGAACTAAAACCCGAGGTGTCCCTATAAATGTCATCATCAGGTGACAGGCAAATGACAGGGAAAAGTGCTGCTAAATCTTAATAAAAATGCTAACTCTGCTTCACCGATCACTCCTGTGACCTAAGTATTTCTGCCTTTACACCCCATGCTCAATACTAGTTAGAAAGGAATAATTAATACGTGCTAGAAATCCTGCTAAGCATTTTATACGTTGATACTTCAAATAATCCCTCCAACAACCACAAAAGGAAGGTGTTGTTACTATTCCCATTTTCAGATGAAGAAACTGATAAAGGTTAACAAATGTGAAGCAAGGAAACCCAAAGCCAAAGGTCCTGCTCTCCTTACAAGTTATCCAACTTTGCTGGAAAAAATAACTGAGTGGGGGATCCAAGCTCTAGGCTAGGTTGTGTCATTTCAATACCTGTGTGAGCTTGGGCAACTTTTTTTGTGCCTCAGTCCTTTTAAAAGGCAGCTGCTTGGGAGTTATCTATAGGGAAGTTGTATGTTTTTAAGGGGGCAGTCCCTGCATTTCCAAAAACCGGTGCAAAGTGAAAATCCGGCACAATCAAAACTACCTGGCAAAATCGCTTAATTCGTTAGCACCCTGGTTCTTTAAAAAGCTGAAACGTCAATTCTTTGGTTCCTTTTTTCATTGCCGTGTGCTGTGGCCTGCCTTTCCCCACAGTAGGGCAACGAAGAAAACCGCAAGGTTTTCTCTTTTGTTTTTGCCTAGATCTTGCAGTTACAATTCGTGATGCGTTGGATTTGTGCGGCTAGGATACGACCCCCCACGGTAGTTCTTTCAGGTCCCTGGTCATTCGAGAGTTGTCTCCAGTCCTGTAACCCAGAGACTTTCAAATTCCAGACAAACGCCAAGACGTCCCATTGTCTTCCCAGCTGGACCCCACTCCCATTTCCCTGTGGTGACCTCGTAGCCTCGCTGCCGGCTGACGTTGTGCCTCTGCTTTAACAGAAACTCTTGGCAGCAGCTCTTTGATTTCCACTTCTGCCTCACGTATTTGGTTAAGCGAAAAAGGACACATTCCGGGTAATATCAAAGGGGGAGGGGAACCCCAGATCCGGCTGGGGCCCGCGGGCCTCCACCCGGCCAGCACCCCTTCTCACATTTCCTCTCCAATTCCCATTCGCGGAGACTAATCACGCGCCCTCCTCGCTTCGTCGCGCATCTTCCCCAGGTAAAACCTGGGATCAACACAACTAGTGACCGGCACCCAAGGAGCTATGAGGGTCAGGTGGTATTACTCTCGCCTGGGGGGCGGGCCCATCGCGAGTTACAAGAACCAGGCCGCTATGGTCTCCCGTTTGGGCCCGCTGAAATCCGGAGGTCCTGCTCGGTTCCCTCGCGAGCTGCTGGTACTCACCAGCAGGTTGGTGCTGCGATTATCGCCCTCTGCCATCGTCCCTGAGGAGCCGCCACAGCGAGCTCAAGGGGACCTCCACAACCTCACGTACGAGCCCTCACGGCGACCTCAGCGCGAGTGCGTCTCGCAAGCGTTTATATAGCCTGGGTGCCTATCCCGACAGCCTCCGGGAAGCTCGCTCTTCATTGGGCAGGTCGAGCTCAACCTTGAGGGTAGCCAGACCAACCGCTGCCCGGTGCATGACTTGAAATCGAGGCCAAAGGAAAGACAGGCCGAGCCGGCTGAGGAGGCGGGGACAGGGAGTACCAATCAGCGACCACGGAATGTACGACGCCCCGCCCTATGCTTTTGGATGCAGTTGAACGGCCGCTTCCAGGGGCATGGTTTGGCCTCGGTAGCTCTTGGATAGGCGCTGGGGCAGCTCTCGCATCTTTTCCCCCTGGGCCTCAAGACAGTTAAGGAGCCTCTCTGCTGGGCAGTAACAGGCGGAGAGCGGAAAAGGAGATGTGACAATTGCATTGTGGTTAGGTCGGCCGGCTGGAATTCTCATCTCCTCAGGCCGGTGTCTCTCAGCGGCCCTCCCTTCCGGCTCGCGTCCAGGTCATTGAGCAGTTTCGCTCAGACTTGTGACTGCTGCCAATATTACAGGGTTTTGAGGACAAGTAAAAGCTGTTTATGTAGAGTTTGCTGCAATTTTTCTCAGTCCAGTTAGGGATAAAGCCTTTGTTTGGAAGAGGAAGAAAAAAGGGCGGAGTGTCAGAGAACATATGAAAAAATGCACCGATTTATAGATTTACACGGGCTCTTTGGGGAAAATCTTAGTAGGGCACATCAGTTACTTCCTGGAGAAACTATGCACTCACTTTCCAAAAAGGGGTTGGTTTTACATCAGAGGTCATGTTAAGAAAAGATGTAAAGCCATTTAGGAACTAGATGAACTCTTCAGTCTTTTCTACCCAGGATTTTCAAAACATGTAACAAGTGCTTTCATTTTTATTATTAAATACAAAAAAAAAAAAAAAAAAGATGTTGGCCTGATCAGATGTGTTTCGGGTAAGTTAACTATAGTGTTTAACTTCCAGCTTTTATCCTGTTACAACAATCTATTTTATGTTATTTAAACTTAAGCACATTCATTAAACAGCTACCAGGTTAAGAGTTGAAGGAAAGGCATAAAGATGTGAGAGAACATAGTTCAGACCACATAATGCCTCAAGAAATCCAGGCAAGGGCAGGAGCATTGAGAATTTCATGAAAGGACATGAAATTTGTTATAAATCTTTGGATAAAAATTAAGTGTTTGGAGAAAAAGCCTTTGCATGGAAAAGGAACACCCTAGTAAGTTACACTTTGTGGAATGTTGCGGGGAAATACAAGTTGTCTGAATAAGGTGCAGCTAGTTGACACAGAGACATTTAGTGGAGCTGGAAAGCTATGGAGTTTGAGGGATAGGAGCTCCCCGGCCTCTTCAAAAACAAAAACGCAAAAGGTGATTCGGGTAACTAGTACAAACATTGGGTATGCAGTAACAACCACCTCCAAAGGAGAGGGCATAGAGTTCTTACTAGGCTTTAGAAACTGGCATTTCTACTTTGAGAAATCAGCTACCGAAGAATGCTTCCGGTTGCACTCAAATTCCCTCCCTACAGATTAAGGAGACTCTAAACACCAGATTGTGAAAATGAGATAGTTGAAAAAACACAAGCAACTCAAACAGTGTAGGTTCTCCAAGGAGTATTTTTGTTATTCAAAGAATGTGTTCCCAAACAATTCTGTATTTATAACCTAGGAACACTGCTATACAGTCTTTCACTAAGATTTTGAATTGGCCTAATTAAAAACAAAAACACCTTCCACCCTGTAGTGTTTCTTTTGAGCTTGTTTTTAACTCTAGACAGGATGTGATCACTTGAAATGTGCCAGATGACTGAGCAATTAACACAAATCTGTTGTTAGGTGCTAGCGTCCACTTGGAGCTCTGGTGGCATAGTGCCTAAGGCACTTGACTGCTAACCAGAAGGCTAGCGGTTCAAACCCACCAGCCAATCCTCAGAAGGAAGATGGAGCAATCTACTTCCATAGTGATACTGCTTCGGAAGCCCAAGGAGGGTCGCTATGAGTCAAAATTGACTCGACAGCAGAGTTTGGTCTGGTTGGTAGAGTCCACCTCACGTGCAAGAGGACGAAATGTCTGGTCCTGCCCCATCTCCAGACTGCCGGCACGCTTGAGTCCTTTTTGCTACCATTGTGCATTTTGAGTGCTCTCCAACCTAAGGGGCTCATCTTCCAGCACTCTTTATCAGACAATATTCTGTTGTGATACTTTTTGAAACTAGACCACCAAGCCTTTCTTCTTATTCTCTTAGCCTGGAAGCGCCACTGAAATTTGTTCACCATGGGTTGAAATAGTTCATCTATTTAATTTATTCTCTTTACAAAAAACGGAAGCAATGTCTGACTACTACCCTATAGGAGCAAAGAAGCATGAAATGGTTTTGTCCTTGTGACTGATGGCGTAGTGCCTAAGGCATCTGACTGCTAACCACAAGGCTGGTGGTTCAAACCCACCAGCCACTCCTCAAAAGGAAGATGGGGCAATCTACTTCGGTAGTGATAACTGCCTCGGAAACCCAAGGAGAGGTCGCTATGAGTCAGGTCCGACTTGACGGCACATAACAACAACTTGACTTGGGATCTACTCGACGGCAGTGAGTTACCCTGTTGGTATTTGAGATGACCAGAGGCATGGCTTCCAACTTCATAGCAACATGCAAGCCACCACAGTAAGGCAAACTGTCAGCGGGGTAGTGGTAACAATCTAGCACCAACAAATGCAAACTTAAAAATACTAAAACAAGTTGGACATTTTAATGCCATTTTCCTTGACAAATCTCACACCCAAGGGAATATCCATTTCAGATCTTCTTTTATGCCAGTAATGGTCTGTGGGAGTATTGTTATGAAGTATTGACAAAATTAAGCTTAATCAAATGGGTCCTTAATATTAGAACTTTCCCAGTAAAATTTCCAGTGCTGTTTGAATGTTATAGAACTTTGAGGGTAAAAAAATTTACTGTCTTGAAAATTATGGGTATTTTTATAGTTTGAAAACATTAGTGCTTATTTATTTTCAAAAAGACAATCCATGTTCCAAAGTTTAGTTTTGTGGACTCTACTTAGGCCAATAAATTCAAAGCTTAAATGCTATATCTTTTGAGGCTGAACCTTTATTTTTTGAAAAACAGGCATTTCATACAATCTTTGCCGTATTAATGCAAATATGCACAAAGTAGGCATGTATTTTTTTTTTCCAAAAGAGGCATTATGAACATTTTTCAGGAAGCTGGTGTGATTTATTGAACTTTTAATCTTAAATACAATCACAAAATTATACCAATCAGGAGGCATTACAACCTTTTGTACAGAGAAGCCACTTCTTTTATTTATTTATTTATACAATGTTACTAGGACAAGGAAGATTCAGTTCAACTCAATTTGCTCTAATAATTAAGGGTAAAAAGTAAATTAACAAGTGAAGTGTGATGTCCTTGCAACTGACACGTGAGAAGATAAGGGAAATGTAAATCAGAAAAATAACTGACACGAAAACTTTAGTTTGGAGCTGAAACTTGACTGTCAGAAAAACAAACTGCAAAACAGTGCATTTAATCAGCCTGTTTTAAAACAAACACTTTATAAACTCTGCATTTCAGAACATGTAATTCCTTAAGTTTACCATCTTAAAAAAAAAAAAAAAAAATCAAGCTATTTTATGACCTTTGCATATTATTTAGCACAACAGCTTCTCCCTAGTAAGTTCAGCCAACTTTCTATGGAAAGCAAGAGACTGTAAGTGGTTCATGTTGTCCCACCAAGCCTTGAGCCTATAAAACTTCTCTCAATTAGAGTCAATCTGCCCGTTTATAAATAAGGAATGGTGACATTGCTACCCAGGCCAAAAAACAGGAAAACTGGAATAAACCAGTTCTTCTAATACCAGGCGGTTCCCCTCCCCAGCTGTCTGGACAATGTGGTGATGCTGGCTAGTTTGTCCCCAGAGGAGGAACTTTTCTAATACAACCCCAAAATTGTAAATAAAATCAACCTTCTGTAGGTGACCCTTACATTAATAATATATTCTACCTCCTTGATTTCAGTGGGGGGAAGTGCTAGTTCTAAACTACTGGTATTTCACAAGCCCAAGAAGATACAGAATGGAAGGACATTGGTTTGTATCCTCATGTAATTGGACATAAAACAAAGATACTTAAGTGTGCCGACAGGAAAACAGTCACTGATTTTTGATGTACATGAACAGCACAGGCTAATTATGGGTGCTTTCTTTCATATGAAAAGAATGTGGAGAACAGAAGAGGAACCAGCTCCTTTGATTCTAGTGGTGCCAAAACAAGTAAGCCCCAGAGGAACTATAAAAAGGTGGAGGAAAATAGGCCAGGAAGACTCTTCCATTTAAAGTACTGCCTATAATACCCCAGATTAAAAAGGACCTAAGATTGCACTCAACTCTAATATTTGGCTGTACTTGCATCGCCCTGCTCAGCATTTTTAAATGGCTCTTTCCTTAAATTTCACACATCAGAACAACCACAATTAAAAAACAAAAACAATGCAGATAACACCGAACATCAGACCGTATTAAGAAAACTACCTCTTGAGTGTTAAGGGCAGAAGTAATGGAAGTGTTTCTTTGTCCTGAACCTCGGCCCTGGGCTCTACGAAAGCAATTTAGGGAAGCAGATCGAGAGCCTGATTATCAGTTGTTACACAGAAATGTCACATAAAGCAACTCACCATAAGTCATCAGACAAAAAAGGATCTTCGTATTATCATCTAGCACACTAATTTAAGAACTCATGACCAGACACTGCAAGACACATCAAAGAAACAGAGTAAGAGAAATACAGACAGTTCTATCAACAATGACGTTCACCACAGCTTTGTAGGGAAATCAATTTTCAAGATTAGGTAAGTCTAGCAAATGAAAGACAACAAAACAATGAAGATAAACTTTTATCTCC